AGAACTCTGTAAGCAGCTGGACCATGTGATCAACCTCGCATTGCCGTGGTAAGGATCAATAAACTCATTCCCGCTTATGCCTCCGCATCACCCTTAGGACTGACTACTACCCTGTCCCCTACCCCTGCCCCAACCCCCCTCTTTTAACCATGTCCTACAGGCTTTCATGAACATGCACTAACATGAACTGCCCTGCTGTGACAATTATTGCCCCCCCCCCTCCTCTATTTCTCACCATGCGCCAACCTCTATGACCAACTACTTCTACTCCCTTTACCTATCAAGTTTCACCCTTCGAGGCTGACGCTTAATCGGGCAGTTAATTCTCTTATTAATAGGCAACGACCGTCATCAGCTGAATGAGAGGTCACGAAATTTATGACGTCATTAAATTCTGCTAATCTAGTGATCTTCGCTCTGTACATCTTGACTCTTTCTTGACACCGGATCCAGGTGGTGGAATGGAAGATGGAAAGCGGTAGATGTGACACCAGCCTCCTCTCACTATAATCCAGCGCAAGTCACTGTCCCTGATCCACCCGGCTGTGGAGCACACGGTGGACATAGTCGAAAGCACGAATTGGAATCGATCTATAGGTAGTTATAGGGGGTGTGGATAGTTTGCCAGACACCTTATTCGGTGAACCGTCAACGCGGCGGATGCCGTAGGTAAACTGCGTAATCTGGTTCAGTTTGAGGAGCTCCCGGCGGTTGAGCTTGTTAGAGTTCGACTTGACATAAAAATAAAGGGGCTTCCCATTATTGCATACAGTGAAGTCCCTGCCCTCAAAAAGATGCAGGTCTGCTTTACAGGGCAGTCTTCGCCATGAAGTTCAAATCCAAGTAGGTTATAGGGGAATTACGTAGGTGATCACTGTTAGGAGAATAAGGTTAAGGTTTGCGTCACTAGGCTTCTTGTTCTTGTCACTTTCGTGCTGTGTCCTATGCAGCTATAGCAGCGTGAGCCAAACAGAAAGACGGCTAATTTAGCCGTACCGACAATCACAGGGTGAACTGTCCTAATACACCATCCCGAAGGTGGTGCTTAGCGATGCCGAAACAAATCTCCACGTTCAAAGGCATGAGTTATCAATCGGTCGAGAAGGTCAACATGATGCCAACTCCGTGTGACGTATGTATACATATAAGAGAAAAATATGAGACTGAGTGTATCTTAGAAAATATATTCCGCTGGTTTTACATAAACTATCGGCAAAAAAACCATGTTGGGAAGAGCTATGAAGTTGGAAAAATCTGCAATTTTTATTGTAGTTAGTTTTTCAAATAGCGTGGCAAAAGAAGGCATTTTATGATTACCGCGACAATACTGAATATCAGAACGAAATGGAAGACGGAAGATGGTGGTCAGGTAAAGACTGCGTTTCGTGCAGGTCTGCAGGAGGAGGCGGATGTTGCCATTTTAATAAATACGATCGGATAGTCCCTCCTGTTTTGTGCGGACACCGACACAGGGATCGCCAAGGACGATCAGTTTTATTGACAGAGAAAGCCACGGAAGTTGCCACTGCCCTCAGCACGATCGTGTTAAAGCTTTGCAGCGCGACACAAACGCCATACACAATCGCCGACTTTGTACTTTAATGTATCGACTCGAGGTGCCTGTTGAGAACACTGAACATATAACTGAGGGGTTCGGCCAAAAAGCATTTTCTGAGCACTTTTTCTTGCGCGAAACAGGAGACTTCCTCCCTTGCTATTCGGAGATCCTTAAAAGCCAGGGCATTGATAAAGCCATCTAAAGAGTGTGAGGAAGTAAGTTGTTGTCACCTTGTGTGCCCCTGCGTCGGCGCTGGCTACATCCCCCAGTTGCGTATTACGAAAGGAAGGCAGACAGGGCAGCAGAAGATAGTTTACTACCACTGTTTCTGCTTGTACATCAACTCTGTCTTCTGTGTGTCCGGCAGTTTGTCCTCCTGTGCAGCTCGGTCTTGTTTGCACCTTGGTTTGGTCTGCAGCTCGGTAATGTCTGCAGCTCTTCTTGTGTCCGTCAGCAGCGTGTCTTCTGTCGTCGGTCTCGTCTCGACAGCAGCAGGTGTCGGCAACAGAGTCTCCTGTCCCAGCAACAGAATCTCGTTTCGCCAATAGCAGAGTGTCGCCTCCAGTCGATGGCAGCGTATTTAAGAATCAACGACCTTTGTTCCCTCTGCAGGCAGCC